CGAATGGGTGTTAAGCAGTATTGTGGCTCTTAGGCTTCGGGGAGCAACTCATAGTCCACTCCTGAACTTTGCCCATGCCGAAGAGGCGAATGGGTCTTGAGCAGTGTTGTGGCCCTTAGGCTTCGGGGAGCTTCTTGTAGTCCACTCCTGAACTTTGCCCATGCCGAAAAGGTGAATGGGTCTTAAGCAGTATTGTGGCCCTTAGGCTTTGGGAGTGACTCGTAGTCCACTCCTGAACTTTGCCCATACCGAAGAGGCAAATGGGTCTTAAGCAGTATTGTGGCCCTTAGGCTTCGGAGAGCGACTCGTACTCCACTCCTGAACTTTGCCCATGCCGAAGAGGCGAATGGGTCTTGAGCAGTATTGTGGCCCTTAGGCTTTGGAAGCGACTCATAGTCCACTCCTGAACTTTGCCCATACCAAAGAGGCGAATGGGTCTTAAGTAGTATTGTGACCCTTAGGCTTCGGGGAGCGACTCGTACTCCACTCCTGAACTTTGCCCATGCCGAAGAGGCGAATGGGTCTTGAGTAGTATTGTGGCCCTTAAGCTTTGGAAGCGACTCGTAGTCCACTCCTGAACTTTGCCCATGCCGAAGAGGCGAATGGGTCTTGAGCAGTGTTGTGGCCCTTAGGCTTCGTGGAGCGACTTGTAGTCCACTCCTGAACTTTTCCCATGCCGAAGAGGCGAATGGGTCTTGAGCAGTATTGTGGTCCTTAGGCTTTGGAAGTGACTCGTAGTCCACTCCTGAACTTTGCCCATGCCGAAGAGGCAAATGGGTCTTAAGCAATATTGTGGCCCTTAGGCTTCGAGGAGCAACTCGTAGTCCACTCCTAAACTTTGCCCATAACGAAGAGGCGAATGGGTCTTGAGCAGTGTTGTGGCCCTTAGGCGAATGGGTCTTGAGCAGTATTGTCCAAGTGCCAAGCTGCCTGTGAGGTGTCGGGCTGCCTATGAGGTGCTGGGCTGACCAGGTGTCGAGCCGCCTGTGAGGTGCTGGGCTACCTGTGAGGTGCTGACGAGCTGCCTGTGAGGTGTCGGGCTGCCTGTGAGGTGCTTGGTTGACCAGGTGCTGAGCTTCTTGTGAGGTGTTGGGTTGCCTGTGAGGTGCCACGCTGCCTGTGAGGTGCTGACGAGATGCCTGTGAGGTGTCGGGCTCCCTGTGAGGTGTTGACGAGCTGCTTGTGAGGTGTCGGGCTGACTAGGTGCCGATCTTCTTATGATGAGATTCGTTGCTCTTTAGAGACCTGCAATGAACTAAATGTTAGAGGACCCGAAGTGGCTATACCGGTGAGGTCACTCCGATGGCTCAGTCAGTACTCTC